TACACCTGAAATTTCAGCTACTCTGGAGGCTAAGGCAGGGGACTCGTTTGAACCTGGGAGGCGGAGGCTGCAGTGAGCCAAGATCATGCCACTGTACTCCAGCCTGCATGACAGACCAAGACCCTCTCTCAGAAAATAAAAAGAAGATCCTGACCATAGGTAACTTTTTTTTTTTTTTTTTTTTTAGGCAGCCGCAAGATTGCTCCTTCCTAGGAGGGTCTCTCCTTTTTTTTTCCTTTTCTTTCTTTTTTTTTTTTTTTTTTGTTTTTTAAAGACAGGGTTTCACCATGTTGGTCAGGCTGGTCTTGAACTCCCGACCTCAGGTGATCTGCTCACCTTGGCCTCCAAAGTGCTTGGATTACAGGCGTGAGCCTCTACACCTGGCCTTTTTCTTTTTCTTTTTTTCCTGAGGCTCTCCTAAATATCTTCCTCAGAGTATTTTTATCTTATGGTTTTGTTTCATTGTTTATGTGCTTGTTTTGGAGACAGGGCCTCCCTCTGTTGCCCAGGCTGGAGTGCAGTGGCACAATAAAATTCACTGCAGCCTCAAGCTTCTAGGCTCATGTGATCCTCCCACCTCAGCCTCCTGAATAGCTGGGACTACAGGCTTGTGTTGTTTTAAGTTAAACAAACAAAAAATCAGTCCTTTAGACATCCTGTATGTTTAATAATTCCTGCTTCACCTTCCTTCATTATTTCAGCAGAAGAAAAAGTGATATAATAAAGATGAAGTCAACCAACTATGGTGTGTTTTCTAAACCCCTAAGGAAAATTAAGAGCTTCTCTTTTATTTTTTTTTATTTTAGTATTTTTTTTCTTTTTGAGATGGAGTTTCGCTCTTGTTACCCAGGCTGGAGTGCAATGGCGCGATCTCAGCTCACCGCAACCTCCACCTCCTGGGTTCAAGCAATTCTCCTGCCTCAGCCTCCTGAGTAGCTGGGACTACAGGTGCACGCCACCATGCCCAGCTAATTTTTGTATTTTTAGTAGAGACGGGGTTTCACCTTGTTGACCAGGATGGTCTCGATCTCTTGACCTCATGATCCACCCGCCTCGGCCTCCCAAAGTGCTGGGATTATAGGCGTGAGCCACTGCACCTGGCCGAGCTTTTCTTAATTATCAAATTGGAACCTGATAGTCTAATAAGATGGTATCAAGAATCTCTACTTCTGGCTGGGCATGGTGACTCACGCCTGTAATCCAAGCACTTTGGAGGCCAAGGCGGGCGAATCACCTGAGGTCAGGAGTTCAAGACCAGCCTGACCAACATACGAACATGGTGAAACCCGTCTTTAAAAAAATTTAAAAAAGAATCTCTCCTTCTAGAAGGGCTGTGGATAGATGCACTGCCACCATTTGCCATTAGGGGTGTCCTCTGCAAGTCTTGGAACCAAACCAGTGCTCAGTTTTTACAACCTGCAACAGGGTAGTGGGGGTTCATCAGCCAGTGGAATCTGAGCTCTGAGCAAGTATAGTGCTGCATACCAAGTGCTGAAAGGTTACTGAGTGAACAAAAGTGGAATGAATGTGTATTTTAAAGGCCAATTGTTCCCATTCAAATCTGAGTTTGAAGGGAAAGAGGCCCAGACCTTGAGATAATTGTCAGTTCTGCTACTTGAATAACAACATCTTTGTTCCTCAAGTAACAACAACTAAAACCAGCAAAGCCCTTCTGGAACTTCAGCTCAAACCAGCTGTGACTTAATTTTCTTCAGAAAAGGATCCAGACTGAAATGTGAATATACTAGATAATGGTTTTGTTCTGTTCTTCCATTTTGTACTACAGCTACAGACACCATTTTATTGAAGGTTTCCAAAGGGTTCACTTGGTCACAATCAAGGTAATGGTAACACATATTTAATGGTAATATATTTAATGTTAAATTGATCATTATGATATATAGATATATAGATGTATGTTACCATATAGTTTATTAGCATGTATAGCATCTTAGAACGGATTATATATATGTATATACACACATACATATATACACACACACACACATACATATATATATATATATATATATATATATATATATATAATTTTTTTTTTTTTTTGAGATGGAGTCTTACTCTGTCGCCGGGCTAGAGTGAGACTCCTGTAATCCCAGCACTTTGGGAGGCCAAGGTGAGCGGATCACAAGGTCAGGAGTTTGAGACCAGCCTGACCAACGTGGTGAAACCCCTTCTATACTAAAAATACAAAAAAGTTAGCTGGGCATGGTGGCTCATGCCTGTAATCCTAGCTACTCAAGAGGCTGAGGCAGGAGAATTGCTTGAACCCAGGAGGCAGAGGTTGCACTGAGCTGAGATCGAGCCACTGCACTTCAGCAGTCTGGGCAACAGAACAATACTCTATCTCAAAAAAAAAAAAATTCACTTTATTTTGACAGATCCTAATTTGCTCTTACTGCATCAAGTGGCATTGCCACTTAATTTTTTATTTTTTAACTTTTAAAATGTTATTTTGATTATTTTTAAATTGACCAATAATAATTATACATATTTTTGGGGTACATAGTGATGTTTTGATACATAAAATGTATAGTGAATAGATCAGGGTAATTAGCATATCTATCATCTCAAACATGTATCCTTTATTTGTGTTAGGAAAATTCAATACCTTCCTTCTAGCTATTGGAAACTAGATAATATATTATTGTTAACTGTAGTCATCCCACAGTGCTGTGGAACACTATAAGTTATTCCTCTTATCTGGCTGTAATTTTGTTACTGGAAAGGGGTCTCAATCCAGATCCCAAGGGAGGATTCTTGAACCTCATGCAAGAAAGAATTCAGGACAAGTCCACAGAGTAAAGTGAAAGCATGTTTATTAAGAAATTAAAGGAATGAAAGAATCGCTATTCCATAGGTAGAGCAGTGGCATGGGCTGCTCAACTGAGTATACTTTAGTTATGTCTTGATTATATGCTAAACAAGGGGTGGATTATTCATGGGTTTTCTGGGGAAAGGCCAAGGATTTCCCAGAACTGAGGGTTTCTTCCCTTTTTGGACTCTATAGGGTAATTTCCAGACATAGCCATGGCATGTGTAAACTGTTTTGGAGCTGATGGGAATGTCTTTTTGCATGCGAATGCCTTATAACTAGTGTGTACTAAGCCGTATAATCCCAGCACTTTGGGAGGCCGAGGCGGGTGGATCACGAGGTCAAGAGATCGAGACCATCCTGGTCAACAAGGTGAAACCCCGTCTCTACTAAAAATACAAAATTTAGCTGGGCATGGTGGTGCGCGCCTTTAGTCCTAGCTACTCGGGAGGCTGAGGCAGGAGAATTGCTTGAACCCAGGAGGCGGAGGTTGCGATGAGCCGAGACCATGCCATTGCACCCCAGTCTGGGTAACAACAGCGAAACTCCGTCTCAAAAAACAAAACTAGTGTGTACTGAGCAGTAAGGATGACCTGAGCCTACTTTCATTGCTCTCTTGGTTTTGGCCAAGTTCTTTACTGCATCTTGTTTTATCAGCAGTGTCTTTGTGACCTGTACCTTGTGCCAACCTCCTATCTCATCCTGTGACTAAGAATGCCTAACCTCCTAGCAATGCAGCCCAGCAGGTCTTAGCCTCATTTTACCCAGTCCCTATTCAAGATGGAGTCAGCTGGTTCAAAGGCCTCTATTTTGTATCCTTTAACAAATCTCTTCCTATCCCTCCTTCCTCCCCACTTTTCCCAGCCTCTAGTATCCTCTGTTCTACTAGGTAATGCTTTTATTTTACATTATTTTATTTATTGATTTATTTTTTAGTTGAAATCTTGCTTTGTCACCCGGACTGGAATGCCGTGGCATGATCTCAGCTCACTGCAACCTCTGCTTCCCAGGTTCAAGTGATTCTCTTGCCTCAGCCTCCTCTGTAGCTGGGACCACAGGCACATCCCACCATGCCCAGCTAACTTTTGTATTTTTAATAGAGACAGAGTTTTGCCATGTTGTCCAGGCTGGTCTCAAACTCCAGGCCACAAGTGATCTGCCCGCCTCAGCCTCCCAAAGTGCTTGGATTACAGGCGTGAGCCACCATGCCCAGCCTAAAATGCTTTGAAATAACTGTTTTAAGGCTCACACCTGTAATTCCAACACTTTGGGATTATGCCACGGGGTGTGGTGGCATGTGCCTGTGGTCCCAGCTACTCAGGAGGCTGAGGCAGGAGAATTGCTTCAACCCGGGAGGTGGAGGTTGCAGTGAGCCAAGATTGCGCCACTGCACTCCAGCCTGGGAATCAGAGCTACACTGTGTCTCGAAAAATAAAATAAAATAACTTTTAAAACACCCATGTCTTGATTTGGGGTAATTGTTATTTCATTTTACAGTATGTTACCTATTTAATCTAGTCTCACACCACAGCATAGCAGAAAGAACATGGAAGACTTACAGGTCTAAACTTTATGGCATTGTATTGACAGATTGTCGAATCTTTCTTACCCTCCGTTTATTCTTCTGTAAAAATGGGAATAAAAATCCTCCTTGTGAGGGATAATACCTTGCAGAATAGTGAGGGTTAACTGAAAAGATGTCTGTGAAGATGCCTAAAAGTAAAGGGGTGTTGAATAAATGGTTAATGTTTCTTCATCTTACTACCAACTCCACCTGTCACAGTGGATGCTTAGTAGATGCTGCTGATAAAGAAACATATTATTTTAATAACTGACTGTAACCCAACTACAACCATTTTCACTACTATAAAGAAAGGGAAATTCATTTGACTTAATGAAGAAAAGCAACACAAGCAAACCAAACTTAGAGAATAATATAATGCCAAGACTGAGATCTCCCAAGAGATAGTTTAAATCTGGGTTTACATTTTCCTCTACTTCAGGGCTCTTCTGAGATGTTGGTAGTGACCTATTTCTTAACCAAGATGGTGTCTACAAGGGTGTGTTCATGGTATGATAATTCATTGAGCTATATACTTAAGATCTGTATATTTTCTATATGTATATATTATTCTTCAATTAAAAATGTAAAAACATTTCTCTGCAGAAACCATGCCCAAGTTCAAACAACGAAGAAGAAAGCTAAAAGCCAAAGCCAAAAGATTATTGAAAAAAAAAGAAGCCTCTCACGTTCAGTCCAAGCTAATTACACCTCCTCCTCCACCAACCTCACCAGAAAGGTAAGGCATAACGTGGAACAGAAAAAAATACTAGAAAGATCTGATCAGTTTAAGATAAAGTTTCCAGATTTAGCAAATAAAACTAGAAGGTGCACTTACTCATGCCTATAATCTTAGCACTTTGGGAGGCTGAGGCGAGTGGATTACCTGAGGTCAGGAGTTCGAGACCAACCTGGCCAGTGTAGCAAAATTCTGTCTCTACTAAAAATACAAAAACCAGGGATGATGGTGGTTATCTGTAATCCCAGCTATTTGAGAGGCTTAGGCAGGAGAAATGCTTGAACCCAGGAGGCAGATGTTGCAGTCAGCCAAGTTAGTGCCACTGCACTCCAGCCTGGGCAACAGAGCCAGATTCCATCTCAAAAAAGACAAACAAACAAAAAAAAGAAGGCCCAGTTAAATTTGAATTTCAGATAAACAGTGAATAATTTTTTCATATAATTATGTCCTATGTGATATTTGGAATATATCTATACTAAAATTATTCATGCTTTATCTGAAATTAATTTATTTTAATTTTGATTTATTTGTTTATTTTTGAGATTGAGTCTTACTCTGTCACCTCAACTGGAGTGCAGTAGCACAATCAAGGCTCACTGCAGCCTCGACTTCCTGGGCTCAAGTGATCCTCCCACCTCAGCCTCCCAAGTAGGTGGGACCACAGGTGTGTACCACCACACCTGACATATTTTTTATTTTTTGTAGAGATGGAGTCCCACTAGGTTGCCCAGGCTGATTTCAAAATCCTGGGCTCAAGCAATCTTCCCAACTCAGCCCCCCAAAGTGCTGGGATTACAAGTGTGAGCCACTGTGCCCAGCCTGAAATTAAATTTTAACTGGACATCCTGAATTTTACTTGGCAAACATCATTTAAGAGTTCTATAGGAGCCCAGGGAAAACTTCCCCTTCCATTTCTGAAGGTTCATGGAAAAATCAACTGACAAAAGGCAGATTAATCAAAGAAAAGACATACAGATGTATTGATGTGCACACAGGGGAAAACCACAGAGGGATTACCCCAACCCTTCAGTGGGGTTCAGTACCTTATATATCATCTTGAGGTTGCAGAGAGAATGGGAGCTTTGATTGTGTCAAAACAGCTTATGGGAGGTGGAGAAGAGGAGGCCTGGCTAGCAAAGGTGGTCTTGTTTGCAGATGAAACCTCACAAGTAGCAGCCCTCACAGACAATAGATGGTAAATGTTTCTTTCAGATCTTTAAAGGTGCCAGGCTCTCTGTGAATCTTTTCTAGATCTGAATGGACAAGGGAAAGCCTCAGAGAAAATCTGACTGCATCATTGCAGATTTTCTTTACAGATGCAAATCTCTCCCACCAGAGACAACTTCACAGCTATTCCTATATTTATAGTCCTTCTGCATACCATCCTCAACTGTGTCAAGGACATCTATTGTGGGGTGAAATAATTTGGTTTCTGGCCTGGCACAGTGGCTCATGCCTGTAATCCCAGCACTTGGGGAGGCCAAGGTAAGAGAATCAATTGATCCCAGGAGTTCAAGACCAGCCTGGGGAACATAGTGAAAACCTCGTCCTCATCTCCAAATAATAAAAGTCAAGTTATAGCACTGAAATGTCCTTTGATGTGATTAAAAAAAAAAAAAAAGATAGAAAAACAAAAAGAAAAATAAAATTAAAGTTAAAAAAAGAGAAATATTTCGGTTTCCTTCACTTCATTGAAATGAAAATAGCAAGGAATTATATTCAAATGCAAAGTAACTACTTTTTTGCTTCCTTGTGAATTCAATGGCATAAATCTGGCAACTAAATAATGAAAGAAGGGCATAGGACTGCAATTGCCAGACAGGTTCTCCTTGTTCATTGCCCAGAAAATGACAGTTCACTGAGACAGTGGACTTGCACTAGAAAAAGAGCTTAATAAATGCAGAGCTGACAAAGTGACAGTCTAGAGTTTCTTACTATAATCAATTTCCCAAAAAATTCACAGACTAGGGTTTTTTAAGGATAATTTGGTAGATAGGGGGCTAGAGAATGTGGAATGCTGATTGGTTGGGTCAGGGATGAAATCATAGGGGTCAAAGTATGTTCTTCTTGCTGTCTTCAGTTCCTGGGTAGGATCACAGAACAAGTTGAGCCAGTTTTCCAGTCTGGGTGGTGCCAGCTGGTCCATCAGAATGCAGGCCCTAAAAAATATCTTGGGCCAGATACCAGGGCTCATACCTGTAATCCCAGCACATTTAGAGACAAAGGCAGAAAGATCACTTGAGCTCAGGAATTCAAGACCAGCCTGGGCAACACAGCAAGACTTTGTCTCTATTAAAAATTAAAAATAAGCCAGGCGAGGTGGCTCAAGCCTATAATCCCAGCACTTTGGGAGGCCGAGGCGGGTGGATCACGAGGTCAACAGATCGAGACCATCCTGGTCAACATGGTGAAACCCCGTCTCTACTAAAAATGCAAAAAAATTAGCTGGGCATGGTGGCACATGCCTGTAATCCCAGCTACTTGGGAGGCTGAGGCAGGAGAATTGCCTGAACCCAGGAGGCGGAGGTTGCGGTGAGCCGAGATCGCGCCATTGCCCTCCAGCCTGGGTAACAAGAGCGAAACTCCGTCTCAAAAAAAAAAATACAAAATTATCCAGGCATGGTGGCGCATGCCTGTAATCAATCCCAGCTACTCGGGAGGCTGAGCCAGGAGAATTGTTTGAACTCCAGGAGGTGGAGGTTGCAGTGAGCCGAGATCTGGCCACACTCCAGCCTTGGCAACAAAAGCAAAACTCTGTCTCAAAAAAAATAATAATTTTTTTTTTTTAAGAAGAGGTTTCACCATGTTGGTCAGGCTGGTCTTAAACTCCCAACCTCAGGTGATCTGCCTGCCTTGGCCTCCAAAGTGCTTGGATTACAGGCGTGAGCCACCACGCCCAGCCAATAATAATAATAATAAGTTAAAATTATTATCCAGGCATGGTGGCATGCACATGTAGTCCCAGCTATTCAGGAGGCTAAGGTGGGAGGAATGCTTGAGCCCAGGAGATCCAGACTACAGTGATCTATAATTGTGCCACTGTACTCCAGCCTGAGTGACAGAGACCCTGTCTGAAAAAAGAAAAAGACCTTGAACAGCAATCTTAGGTTTCACAATAGTGATGTTATCCATAGGAGCAACTGGGTTGCCTCTGGCTGTAAATGACTCCTGAGCCATAATTTCGAATCTTGTGGCTAAATTGTTAGTTTTACAAAGGTGATCTAGTCCCCAAGCCAGGACAAGGTTTGTTTTGTTAAGGGGCTGTTAGCATCTTTGTTTCAAAGTTAAACTGTAAACTACATTCTTCCCATAGTTAGCTCAACCTATACCCAGGAATGAACAAGGGCAGCTTGGAGGTTAAAAACGAGATGGGTCAGTTAAGTCAGATTTCTTTCACTGTCATAATTTTCCCATGTCAGATTTTTTTCTCACTGTCACAATTTTTGCAAAGGCAATTTCAGGACTAGAATTTAAATCTTCATTTAAATATTAGTTTAAGTTCGGTAATTTATTTTCTGACACTCACAACTTAAATGGGCCATTCAAAGAGATGAGACTCGGCCAGCATGGTGGCTCATACCTGTAATCCCAGCACTTTGGGAGGCTAAGGCTAGAGGATCACTTGAGCCTAGGAGTTCAAGGTTACAGTGATTAAAAGCAAAAAAGAAAGAAATTTTGAGTTCCTAGGAGGCTGGTTTTCATGGTAACTTTGTTGTTATAGCTCTTTTTACAGAAAGTTTTTTAAAACAAACAGACCCTCACAATGCAGTGACCATGATAATGCCACCTTGATTCATTTCTCTCTCTCTTGAATATTGTAAAAGCCTCATAACTGGTCCTCCTGCTTATGTCTTTGTCCCTTTGCCATGGATTCTCAATGCAGTAGCCAGAGCAAGCTTTGGGAAAAAAAATTTTTTTTAAATTAGTGCTTGTTTATTTAATTCCATTTACTTCTCTTTTTTTTTTTTTTTTGAGACAGAGTTTCACTCTTGTTACCCAGGCTGGAGTGCAATGGCCCGATCTCGGCTCACCGCAACCTCCACCTCCTGGGTTCAGGCAATTCTCCTGCCTCAGCCTCCTAAGTAGCTGGGACTACAGGCACGCGCCACCATGCCCAGCTAATTTTTTGTATTTTTGGTAGAGATGGGGTTTCACCATGTTGACCAGGATGGTCTCAATCTCTTGACCTGGTGATCCACCCGCCTCCCTCCCAAAGTGCTGGGATTACAGGCTTGAGCCACCGCGCCCGGCCACTTCTCTTTTTTTTTGAGACAGAGTCTTGCTCTGTCTTCCAGGCTGGAGTGCTGTGGTGTGATCTCTGCTCACTGCAATCTCCACCTCCTGGGTTTAAGCAATTTTCCTGCCTCAGCCGCCCAAGTAGCTGGGACTGCAGGTGTGCACCATGACACCAGGCTTTTTTTTTTTTTTTTTTTCGGACAGAGTTTTGCTTTTGTTGCCCAAGCTGAGTCTAATAGTGAGATCTTCGCTCACTGCAACCTCTGCCTCCTGGGTTCAAGCGATTCTCTTGTCTCACCTTCCCACCACACAGCTAATTTTTGTATTTTTAGTAGAGATAGGGGTTTCACCATGTTGGCCATGCTGGTCTCGAGCTTGTGACCTCAAGTGATCTGCCTGCCTTGGCCTCCCAAAGTGCTGGGATCACAGGAGTGAGCCCTACACCCAACCAATTTTGTTTACTTCTATCAGGTGCATGTGTGGGCTCCCTATAACACACCCAGTTTCTAACATGGTAGTTACAAGACAGGTGAGACTATTTACCCATTGGTCTTCTTTTGTTTAATTTTCTATCAAAGCAAATACAGTTACATTTAATTACTAGATAATTTTCCCCAATCATGTTGCCATAGTACACAAAGTTAATGCTAAAATGTAACTTACCTAATCCCTATGGAAATTTGTAATCAAAAGCAATAAGAGGTATTTTCTTTTTTTTTTTTTTTTTTTTTTGAGATGAAGTCTTGCCCTGTTGCCCAGGCTGGAGTGCAATGGCACAATATCGGCTCACTGCAACCTCCACCTCCCGGTTTCAAGCGATTCTCCTGCCTCAGCCTCCCATGTAACTGGGAATACAGGTGCCCATGACTGCGCCCAGCTAATTTTTGTATATTTAGTAAAGACAGGATTTCTCCATGTTGGCCAGGATGGTTTCGAACTCCTGACTTCAGGTGATCCACCTGCCTTGGCCTCCCAAAGTGCTGGGATTACAGGCATGAGCCACTGCGCTCAGCCAACAGGTATTTTCTCTAGAAAAAAAATTCAAGTTAATAAACCACTTTAGGCCAAAGTAGGAATTCATCATTCATGGTTACTTTGTGATTACTGAGTTTCTATTTCAATTCAATGGAAATGGATTTGGTTTTTGTTTGTTTTTATGGGGATTTGTTGTACATATTATTACATTACCCAGGTGTTAAGCTCAGTACTGGATAGTTATCTTTTCTGCTCCTCTCCCTCCTCCCATCCTTACACCTTGTGAAAAGTAGAGTCATGTTTCTCTGTTACTTAAAATTCTCTAATGTCTTTCTCTATCAGAATAAAACTTAAAGTTCTTGGTATGACCCACAGGGTCTTTATGATCTGACTCTGACCTTATTTGATCTTTTTAGACAGGGCCTCACTCTGTTGCCCAGGCTGGAGTGAGTGCATTGGAGATCTCAGCTCATTGCAATCTCCACCTCCCTGGCTCAAACAATCCTCCCGCCTCAGCCCCCCAAGTATTTGGGACTAGGACATGCCACCATACACAGCTAATATTTGTATTTTTTTGTAGATACTTTTTTTTTGTTTTTGTTTTTCAGATGGGATCTCACTCTGTCACCCAGGCTAGAGTGCAGTGGCACAATCTTGGCTCACTGTAACCTCTGCCTCCAGGGTTCAAGCAATTCTTGTGCCTCAGCCTCAGTAGCTGGGACCACAGGTGCGCACCACCATATTTTGGTAGAGACAGGGTTTTGCCATGTTAGCCAGGCTGGTCTCAAACTTCTGAGCTAAAGCAATTCATCAGCCTTGGCAACCAAAAGTGCTGGAATTATAAGCGTGAGCCACTGTACTCAGCTTAATTTTCTATGTTTTTTTCTTCTTTTTTATTTTTTATTTTTCCTTATTTTCTAAAAAGTCTCTCCACCCTAGTCATCCTGTCCTACTTGCTGTAAGGGTTATTGCCAAGTTTAAAATGAGGAAACTGAGGCTAGTATAAGAAAATTAGGCCGGGTGCGGTGGCTCACACCTGTAATCCCAGCACTTTGGGAGGCCGAGGCAGGTGGATCACGAGGTCAAGAGATCGAGACCATCCTGGTCAACAAGGTGAAACCCCGTCTCTACTAAAAATACAAAAATTAGCTGGGTATGGTGGTGTGCGCCTGTAGTCCCAGCTACTCGGGAGGCTGAGGCAGGAGAATTGCTTGAACCCAGAAGGCGGAGGTTGTGGTGAGCTGAGATCTTGCCATTGCACTCCAGTCTGGGGAACAACAGCAAAACTCCATCTCAAAAAAAAAAAAAAAAAAAAAAGAAAAGAAAATTAAATGCCAAATTATTCAGCTCCCAGGCAAGGTTCTATGGTCCGGGGAAAGGGAGCCAGAGAAGTCATGCTGACTTCCTGGGGTGGGGGTGGGGGGGTGGTTATGGCTATGAGGAATGAGGAACAGCTGGGTGCTCTGATTGGCTCCAGGGGAGCAGGATTGCGACGGGCAGGCCACCATTGGTTGGCGGGTTGTTGGGCGGGTTTTCCGGTGCAAGAGCCAGCCAGGATTGCATTAGCCGGAGCCTTCCAGAGGAGCCATGCAGCAGAGCTAGGTGCCAGGTGCAGAGTCAGGTGCTGAGTGCAAAGGTGGGTGAGTCCAGCCTCCCAGCGAGGCAACCAGCCTTACACTTGCTATTTCTCATATACTTAAGGCAAAATTCTACCTCAGGGCCTTTGTACTATTTTCTCTGTTCATAATTTAAAAGGAAGATGCTTAGGCACAAAATATAATTTAAAGAGTTTACTTGAACCCGAGTGAGAACAGCTGCCTAGAAGAGTAAGACCCAAGTAACCTTGTATACGAACTCCATTCAGCCTTTGCTACCAGCAGGTTTTTAAAGGCTTAAAGGGGGCACACAGAGTGGGCTGATAAAACCATTTGGCAGGAATTCTCAGTTTACGGAAATAACATTGTTAAGCTATAGGGCATGGATTATTAGGTTAGTGGCATTATTAGGTTAATTTATAGCTACTTGTGGCAACAGCAAGCAATTTCAAGGGATGAACATACCTCAAAGCATAGAGTAGAATGTGATTGCTGTCTCATTTTAATGTCTCTCAGGGCTTGACAATTTAAAAGGACTCACATTCCTCAGGTAAACAAAAGTCATCTTCTCAGCGAGACTTTAGTATCTAAAATATCAACCCATCCAAATTTTACATTTCCTCTCCTGCTTTATTTCTCCTTAACATTGATTAACTCTCTAACAACCATATTTTTATTTATTTATTTTTGCTTTCTTTCCTATGAAACTATAAACTCTATGAGGGCAGATATTTTATCTATGTTGAGCATTACTGAACCTCTGGTGCCTAGAACATAGTAGGACTTAGTAAATATATGTTGAATAAATAAATCCCTGAATTCTAGAATTTAATGAAGAGTTTGGCTATAGGGAGTCTGCTTCTGAGTAATACTAAACAACCACCTTCTTGTTTAATTAGAGGCTATTATTATTATTGAGACTGAGTCTGTCTCTGTCACCCAGACTAGAGTGCAGTAGCACTATCTCAACTCACTTCAACCTCTGCCTCCCGGGCTCAAACCATCCTCCCACCTCAGCCTCCTGAATAGCTAGTACTACAGGTGCTCACCACCACGCCTGGCTAAGTTTTATATTTTTTTTGGTAGCGACAGAGTTTCACAATGTTGCAGAGGCTAGTCTCGAACTCCTGGTCTCAAGCGATCTGCCCACCTCAGCCTCCCAAAATGCTAGGATTAGAGGCATGAGCCACCATGCCAGACCAAGGCTATCATTCTAACTTAGGGTTTTTTTTTTATTTGTTTCGCTTTGTTTTTCCTACAGAGTCATTATTTCTTCAACAGATGTATCTCAAATCAGAAGCTGGCTAAGATCATCCTGGAACTTCAAATTTCCTAACATCAGAGGTGCAATAAAATCTTGGACAAATAGAGTATGGTCTATATACAGCTTGTGTCAGAACTGCATAACCCAGGTATGGATGTGACATCCCTGTTTTCAGCGGTATAGTTTTCCTACACACTTGGTGTTTATGTACATACGTGCTCAGGTCAGTCCAACCCTCAGGCTAAACTCAGATAAGATGAAATAATTGAGTTATGTCTGCCTTTGCTTCTATAAAGCATACATCAAGTCATTTTCTGGTTCCTATTTTCTTGTCCTTATCATATTACTCATAAAACTCAGCATTGTTTATTATTAATTTCAGAGTTTAGAAGTATTGAAAGACACCATCTTTCCATCTCGTATCTGCCACCGAGAACTTTACAGTCTAAAACAACAGTTTTGCATTTTGGAAAGTAGATTATGCAAGCTCCAGGAAGCCCTGAAGGTTAGTATTGTCAAATAAAAGTAAATATGGAATTAGGTAAGGAGATACTTTATTTGAAAAGACTATTACAATAGGGAAAATGCTCAAGTCATGAGATTTATATCTCAAACATTAAGCAAAAAAGTTTTCTTTGTTAGCAAGGAATAAATAAGGCTAGAACAATCCAGGTATGGTAAAGTAGGATGAAGAGTTGGGGTAATCTGATCAGACAGCTGATCAGATCAGGGAACATCTTTCCCTGAAGGTTGTTCAGCATGCTGATGCTTGCTGAAGCCCAAGAATAGGTCAAGGTTCTAGGGCCTATGGGGAGGGGTAAATCCTGACAAAAGTTTGGTCAAGTCAAGTTAGTAGATATTTTTGTCCAGATTGGTCAGTGGCAATGAACAGTTCAGCTAATCACTTAGCAGACAAAGAATGGGCATTTGGAGGGTCTGTGTCTAGGTTTGTCAGATAAACAAGGGAGCCATCCATAAATCTTATCCAACTGATATGGAAAAAGTTGGTTCCATATAGCTTCCAAAATAGTGCTCTCTTGTTATTGAGAAGGGCCTAAATTAATAAAACCTCTATGGGCTATAATTAGGTAACATCTATCAAAATATATATCTTTTGATGCAACCAAATTTTGTACAGATGTAAAAAGTTATTTATTGCAGTGTGATTTGAAAAATTGCAAACAAAACTAAGTGTCAAAGAGTATGGGATTAATGGAATAAATCATAATCCATTCATTCAGTGGAATACTATGTAGCTGTTAAGAAGAATGAGCTGGTTTTTTATATACTAATGAGGTATGACCTCAAGAATACACCATCAGTCTCTTTCCCACTAAGAAAACTTTTGTTAAAAGAATACACTAACTTTTGTTATAAGAATACACTGTGGGATTACAGGTGCAGTGGCTCATACCTGTAATCCCAACACTTTGAGAGGGCAAGGTAGGTGGATCACTTGAGGCCAGGAGTTTGAGACTAGGAGTTTGAGACCAGCTTGGCCAACATGGCAAAACCCTATTTCTACTAAAAATACAAAAAATTACTTGGGCATGGTGACACACACCTGTAATCCCAGCTACTCCAGAAACTGAGGCAGGAGAATTCTTGAAACCCAGGAGGCAGAAGTTGCATGAGACAACATCATGTCACAGCACTCCAGACTGGGCAACAGAGCATGACTGTGTCTCAAAAAAAAATAAAATAATAAAAATAATAATACACTATCAAATTAAATGTAGAAGTATATGCCAGACAGTGTTTATAGGATGTTCCCAGTATATATATATATTTTTCCTGAGACAGAGTTCTGCTCTTGTTGCCCAAACTAGGGTACAATGGCTCAATCTCAGCTCACCACAACCTCTGCCTCCCAGGTTCAAGCAATTCTCCTGTCTCAGCCTTCTGAGTAGCTGGGATTACAGGCATGTGCCACCACATCCGTCTAATTTTTATATTTTTAGTAGAGGCAGGGTTTCACCATGTTGGTCAGGCTGTTCTTGAACTCCTGACCTCAGGTGATCCACCTGCCTCAGCCTCCCAAAGTGCTGGGATTACAGGCATGAGCCACCATTCCCGGCCTGTTCCCACTATTAAATTAGATGTAGAAGTATATTTAGAACAGTGTTTATAGGCTATTCTCATGTTTTATTAAAATGTATAACTTTGGGAGGTCAAGGTGGATAGATCACTTAAGGTCAGGAGTTCAAGACCACCCTGGTCAACATGATGAAACTTCGTCTCTACTAAAAATACAAAAACTAGCCATGCCTGGTGGCACACACCTGCAGTCCCAGCTACTCAGGAGGTTGAGGCAGGAGAATCATTTGAACCCAGGGGGCAGAGGTTGCAGTGAGCTGTAATCATGCCACAGAGTGAGATTCTGTCTCAAAAAATATCTGAGACAAAAAAAAAAGAATGGAATAATTTTTTTTTTTTTTTGAGATGGAGCCTCATTCTGTTGCCCAGGCTGGAGTGCAGTGGTGTAATCTTAGCTCACTGCAACCTCTGTCTCCCAGGTTCAAACAATTCTCATGCCTCAGCCTCCTGAGTAGCTGGGACTATAGGTGCCCACAACCACACCTGGCTAATTTTTATATTTTTAGTAGAGATGAGGTTTTATCAAGTTACCCAGGGTGGTCTTGAACTCCTGACCTCAAGTGATCGTCCCGCCTCAGCCTCCCAAAGTGCTGGGACTCTAGGCATGAGCCATAGTGCCAGGCCTAAATAAAATTAGTGAGACTAGGTGGGACTCCAAAAATAAAAATAACGAAATTAAACATTAAATAAAACTAATTGACCAGTTGAAAATTTGATTCTAGAAGTAAATTCATTGCTTTTTGAATTCCTAGAATTTTGTAACTTTTTTGTCAGAGTAGTTTGCTGCGGGTGACAAGGCAGTATTCAAATAGACCTTAAAAATAAATTTTTTAACTGAGGGTGGTATACACATTGTAGTCCCAATTACTCAGGGGACTAAGGTGGGAGGATTCCTTGAACCTAGGGACACTCTAGCCCATTGCATTCTAGCCAGGGCAATAGAGTGAGAAAAAAAGTTGTGGTTATTTTTTTTTTTAATTTAAAAAGTCTAGAATGAGAGTGTGTGTGTGCGTGCGTGCGTGTGTGTGTGTGAAATAATTCTATAAACCTTCCCTTCTCTCCTTCTCCTCTAGGATACACACTCTACCTTTCATGACTTTTCTCCTATTTCAGCTCTTCTTATAATTTAACCCCAAATTACTAATCCCAATATACCAGGGAGGATGGTGATATAGAACAAAGAATGAAGCTTGTGTTATTTCCTTCACTAAGAAAACTCCTAGAAGGCTGTATCAGTCAAAATTCTTTTTAGCCACAAGTGACAGAAACACAATGCAACCTAGCTTAAGCCCATAAAACCAGTAAGTCTAGGGTATCTCTGGATTCAGAGGCTCAAATGATGGTGTCACCATCCTGGCTCTATCTCATCTTTCAGTTCTGCCTTCTTTAGAGTAAGTTTATGTCTCAGACAGACTTTCCCCTTGTGCTAGCAACATGGCTGCTGGCAGCCTTAGATTCTTATTCTCATACCAGAACAATCTCAGCTGAGAGAACTTGGCCTGGATTATGTGTCTAGTCCTTGAGTGAGTATCCTGACCAGATCATGTGGACTGAGGGAGAGAAGGGAAACTCAGGTGCTTTTACCAGAAGATGGAGGAATGGCTACAGGCGAGTGCTAGTCCCCACTTCAGAAACTGCTCTGTATTGCTGGGAGGGCTGGCTCCTACAGGATACATTCCTCAAACTCCAGGTCACCTGGTTCCTGGTTGTGATGGCCTATTGGGAGACACTGATGAAAGACTAGAGGGAGGGAGGAGATAAGGAGTTTCTTCCCCTCCTCTTTGCTGCATGATTTCTTCAGCAATGGTAGTTGTTGCCTTCCTGGCCTCATCTCCCACAGAAGTCATGCTCCAGATCCTTGGCCTTTATCAGTTTCTTGAATGTACTGTATTCTTGACTGTATTAAATATTTTTTCCTCCGAAAGGAACTCTTCCCCTAGTCCTTATCTCCCTTTATCTGCTAAGTCTCCATTCATTCTTGAGATCATGGCTAAATATCACTTCCCAAGACTCTAGCTGTTCATTCTCACAGCACACTTCATTGCTCTTATTGAAGTATTGTTTTGTTTTGAGTGTGTTTGTGCATGTTTTGTTTTGTTTTGTTTCAGATGAGGTCTCACTATGTTGTCCAGGCTGGTCTCGAACTCCTGGACTCAAGCAATTTGCTGGACTCAGCCTTGCAGAGTGCTGGGACTACAGGTGTCTGTCAGTTACCATGCCCGGCCTTCTCTGCATGTTTAATGTCTGTCTTCCCTCACCAGACTGTCAGTGCCATGAGGTGACAGACAGGGCCTACATTGTACTTATAGTGCCTGGCATATAGCACATACAAAATAAATGAATGAATGAATGAAATGAAGAAACTTGTGATCATAAATGAGAAAATATTATGACGCACATGATAAGAAAGCATTCAATACATGGTAGCTATTATTTTCATGAGGCTCACTCTCAAGAATCAAATTAACTTGTTATTTATTTGCCAAATGTGATGTCTTCTTCCAGACTATCTCAGAAAGTTCTTCCTGTCCAAGCTGTGGTCAAACATGTCACATGGGTAAACTTACAAATGTGCCTGCCTGTGTTCTAATCACCCCTGAAGACAAAGCTGTGCTTCCTTCCACACTGCCACAGCCAACCAGCCATCTTCCTCCTCCACCTCCACCTCCTCCTCCTCCTCCTCCTCCACCACCTCCTCCACCACCACTAGCACCTGTGCTGCTCCAAAAACCCAGTCTCGCTAAAGCGCTTCAGGTAGGAAACAATCTAGTATTTATATGTTTTGGTCAGCATGTAATATAGGAGTACAGCCAAGCCTTTTAAGGCCAGGTTAATCAGGGCTTGGGCCAGAAGGCTGTATTTTGTTCTCATTCCGTATCTTAATTATTGTGTTTTTAAAATCTCAGTCCCTGAGGAATTCCTAGAAGCTGGATTGAGAAATGAAAGTGATGTGTGTGAAACCCAGTATAGTGGAAGATTCCTATTCCCTTCTCAGCATGCCTTTTTACCCAGAGGAAAACCTCCCTTGGAAACCAAATTAAGAATAGAAGATTGCTTAGTGAGTGACTCAGAACAAAGAGTTAGCTAATTCCAAAGTTTCATGTCATGTCATTAGGCTGGAGAACCAATCTCTATTATAGTTACTTATTTACCAAGGGGACCAGAAAATTTGTGAATCACTAAGACAGGCATGACCCTGTTTTAAAATCTGCTGAATTTTCACTATGAATACATTTGGTTTAGTGTAGCTAAATTAAATCCAGAATCTTCCCAACCCTGACACACACACACACACACACACACACACACACACACACACACAGAAAAATCCAGAGCCTATTGTTATATTTGCCCTAATTATACCTCTCTGACTATATACATTCTTGCTCTGTAGGAACTGAGTCATCTTTCTAGGTAATTCAAGCAAAACTTCAGTTTAACCTGATTAACTCCTTCAACTCTTGTCTTATTATAATGACTCTTGGGGAAGATGCATTATTGCAGGAAACTAGTCTATCTCTTATTTTTAGCAAAGCCTAAGCTTATAAAAACAAAATTGGGAAGAAGGAAGCCTTACATTTTGTTGAATACTTTTTGATGGGTGATAAAAACAGGATTATTCTTAGTTGAGTGGAAAGAATATAACAGGTTCCTAGGTTAAATAAGAGTTACCTCTTAACTGTGAGTCTTTAAAAACTAGATTTGGATTTGCATTTCACTAGTTGTGCTGGTTCCAATTTGAATTCTAACTGCACCATATATTTTAAGGCTGGACTATTAAAAAAAGATGGACCCATGCAGATAACAGTTAAAGATCTGCTGACTGTAAAATTAAAGAAGACACAGAGTTCAGATGAAAGGAGGAAGGTAAGATGTCATTGACTATACATATGTTCTGTTTGCTTTTAACCTTGTTGTCCCTTTATGGAAAATAAGCATAAGCCTTATATATAGAAGTCATTCTAGGCAGGGTGCAGTGTCTCATGCCTGTAATCCCAGCACTTTGGGAGACCAAGGTGGGAGGATCACCTGAGCCCAGGAGTTCAAGACCAGCCTGGGGGGAACATGGCAAGACCTCATCTCAATTTGTATACAATTGTGGGGGGAGGGTGGAAGAAGTCATTTCATTTCAAGTTAAGTATTTGATGTTTTATTTTAGTAGTTTTGGATTTCCCAACAAAATGTGTATAATTAGAAAATGATTTAATTAGGCGATTTAATCTCCCAACCATTAGTCTGAAGAGGTAGAGACACACTTTGAAGTTTTGGAATAAAAATTGGGTGGAATAGAGGATATGCCTTACACATACTCAACACTCAGTTACTTGCCATTTCTGCATGTTTACGTCTTGAATATTTTAAAATGTGTTTTAATAATATCTCATTTTATAATTAAAGATTATACCATCGCCGAAGGCACGGAATCCACTAGTTACTGTCTCTGACTTGCAGCGTGTTACCCTGAAACCTAACTCCAAAATGTTATCAACTCGAGTTACAAATTTCTTAATGTAAGGAACTGCACAGTGCTATGCTCTACTACTACTTAAAAGAATGATATTGTTGTACAAGGGCCTAAAAACAGGAAAAATGACTTTTTTTGCTTATTTTTAATGTTAAAAGTTATATATGCTCATTATAGAAAAATTGAAATCTACAGAAAAGTTTAAAAAAGAAAACAATTATCTGAATAATCCTATCATTGGAGATTGTCATGGTTAAGATACTGCTATTTATTATTCTAGTGTTTTTCTGTGTATATGCTTTATTGTCTCATTTAAAGATGTTGTTTATTATAAGGTGTGTCATTGATTTAATAACAGATTTTGGGAGAAAAATATTCTATCAAGAATTTTAGGATGTACGTGATGGCTCATGTCTGTAATCCCACCACTTTGGGAAGCCGAAGTGGGAGGATTGCTTGAGGCGAGGAGTTTAAGACCAGCCTGGGCAACATAGTGAGACCCTCATCTCTAAAAAAAATTATTAAATTTTTTAAATAATGCAGTGGTGTGTGCCTATAGTCCCAGCTACTTGGGAGGCTGAAGCAGGAGGACCACTTGAGCCCAGGAGGTCAAGGCTGCAGTGTGAAGTGACTGCGCCACTGTACTCCAGCCTGAGCGACGGAGAGAGACTCCATCTCGAAAACAAGAAAAATCCTAAATGTTTCAAAACAAGATTGTATCTATGAAATTTACATACAATGAACTGCCTATTTTGAAGATGTCAAAGTGATACTTTAAGTTAATTTTCAAAAAGATGAGGAAGAGTTCATGACCTATTGAATGGGAAAATCTATATCTACAATATGATTATACACAGACATATATACACATATACCATGTTTCCAAGACATACTAGTTTTCATATTATATAATTTCTCAAAGGAGGCTGTTTAAATTTTTTTTTCCCCAAGATGCAGTCTTGCTCTGTTGCCCAAACTGGAGTGCAGTGACACAATATCGGCTCACTGTAACCTCTACCTCCTAGGTTCAAGTGATTCTCCTGCCTCAGCCTCCTATGTAGCTGGGATTACAGGCACATGCCGCCACACCTGGCTAATTTTTATATTTTTGAAAGAGATGGGGTTTCACCATGTTGATCAGGCTAGTCTCAAACTCCTGACCTTGTGATCCACTCGCCTTGGCCTTCCAAAGTGCTGGGATTATAGGCATGAGCCACCTCAACCAGCCTCTACTCCTATTTTTAAATATAACACATAGAACTACTTTCTAGGACATTGCCTTTAAAAATGATTGCTTTCCTTTGGGAAAAAAATAATAAAATCTCGCAAGTTCTAATTTTTATATCTTTGTTTTATCAGTACTCCTGGAAAAAGTCAGATGGATCTGCGGAAACTGCTTAGAAAAGTCGATGTAGAGAGGTAATATATTCTCTTTTCTTTATGCTTTCTAAATCCATTTTAAAACTTGGCATAAAACACAGCTACTATTATTTTTAATACCTTTGCAGGAGCCCAGGTGGAACCCCTCTTACCAATAAAGAAAATATGGAAACAGGAACAGGACTGACTCCAGTAATGACACAGGCCTTAAGGAGAAAATTTCAGGTAACCCTTTAGGAAAAAAATACTGGTTCCTTTGCTTGAAAATAATTTGGCCTAGTATGGTGGCTCCTGCCTGTTATCCTAACACTTTGGGAGGCTGAGGTAGGGGGGATTGCTTGAGCCTAGGATTTCGAGACGGCCAACATAGTGAAACTCTGTCTCTACAAAAAATACAAAAAAGTAGCTAGGTGTGGTGGTGTATGCCTATAGTTCCAGCTACTTGGGAGGCTGATGTGGGAGGATCACTTGAGCCTAGGAGGTCAAGGTTGCAGTGAGCTGTGATTGCACCTCTGCACTCCAGCCTGGGTGATAAAGCAAGACCCTGTCTCAAAATAAATAAATAAATGATCATAATCATAATTAATGATAATAATTTAAAGCAGCTTTCATAGTAATAATAATTTTTAAATGGTGCCCTATGTTTTGCAAAGTACTTTCATATTTAGGCTTCATAAAATTCTATAAAATATGGGTAGGGCTGGGTACGGTGGCTCATGCCTGTAATCCCAGCACTTTGGGAGGCCGAGGGGGGTGAATCACAAGGTCAGGAGATCAAGACCATCCTGGCCAACACAGTGAAACCCTATCTCTACTGAAAAAAAAAAAGATTAGCCAGGCGTGGTGGCATGCACCTGTAGTCCCAGCTACTCGGGAGGCTGAGGCAGAAGAATCGCTTGAACTCAGTAGGCGAAGGTTGTAGTGAGCCGAGACCCTGTCTCAAAAAAAAAAGAAAGATTTACATTACTTAAAAAATAATAATAATTTAAAAAAATAAAAAATATAGGTAGGATTGGCCAGGCACAGCGAGATCACGCCTGTAATCACATCACTTTGAGAGGCTGAGGTGGGCAGATCACATGAGGCAAAGATTTTGAGACCAGACTAGCCAACATGATGAAACCCTGTCTCTACTAAAAAAATACAAAAATTAGCCAGGTGTGGTGGCCATGCCTATAATCCCAGCTACTTGGGTGACTGAGGCATGAGAATCACTTGAACCTAGGAGGCAAAGGTTGCAGTGAGCTGTGATTGCACTACTGCACTCCAGCCCTGGGTGAAAGGGTGATACGCTGTCTCAAAAAAAAAAAAAAAAAAAAAAAGAAATATAGGTAGGATTATCATGTCTATCCATAAATGTCTGATTTTATTAATTCCTTTAACAAATATTTATTAAGCACTTCCTATTTCAGCACACAGCCCAGCAGTGTGCTGAAATACTGGGGATATAGTGGTAAGCAAAAACAGATACAGATCTACTGTCTTGAAGCTTTCAGTCTAGTGGGGAAAATAGGCATTCATCAAATAATCCCTTATTTGTATTCTGTCACACTGCAGTATGTGCTCTGAAGGAAAGGAATGAGGTTCTGTGGGAACTCAGAGAGGAACTTGATCTAGCCTGGATGATCTAGGAAGGGCTCCCTTAGGAAGCAATGATGCTTGAGGTGAGAGTCAAGGAGGAAGAGGTACTGGACAGGGTAACTGTGGGGTGGGTCCACCATGAATGTCATGGAGGAGAGAGTTCCAGGCAAAAAGAACAATATGCGTAAGAGTCCCATGGTGGGAGGGATCATGGAATGACCTCAAGGAATTGAGAAGTGACCAGTGTGGCTATAACATAGAGAGGGAGCCCGATGGTGGTGAAAGACGGATGGAGATGTATTTAGGAGTCAGACCATGCAGAGTTGATAGGAAAAGATCTTGACAGCTTTCTTTGTCACCTACATGTACAACCACACACCAAAACCAGTAGATCAGCTGGCCCTGGTGTTACTTCTTCCAAACCCTATTGATCTTAGTCATTTCCCTGATTGCCTTTATCGTTAGATCTGTGAAGAACAGCCATCCACTGGCCACCCCTGCTGGAGTGCTGGGATGCAGGGCTGCTGGCATCTTTGGTTTTGAACTTCGTAGTTCATTCTCCCTCTGGATGCAGGACGTATCAGACTCCATTGCTGACATTCTCCACCCAGTACTGTCTTCCTTTTCTTCCCTGTTTGAGAATCCATGCTTTTTGTGGGACAATATGATCTCTCTTACCAATCAACTTTGTCCTCCTAGGCAGTATATAGCTTTCTCTGGAGATGTGACCAGGTTCTTCTTTCCTTCTCTTAGAGCATGCTACCCCTAATCACATTGCTTGGTGATACCCAAAATTGTGAAGGGCGGGAGCAATGGGAAGAGGCCTCACGGAAGGTCTTAACCCCTTCCTTTTTCTGTTTACCTCTAAGATCCTTGTTGTCACTGCCCCACTTTATAACTAGTACAGTGAGTTGAGAACTCTGGAAATGGATAAACAGTAATAAATAGCAAGGCCACATATTGAACAACAACAAAAATCACAGATAAGACCTATGTCATATGTTGTGCACCTAAAATCTACTAAGGAGGAGAATGTCTAGTTGAAACTGTTGTTAGATACAGATGGCTTATCCCATCTAGTCCTTAGGCTTCAACTTCTTTTTTCCTTAAACTCTGAATCAACTGTATCAGCTTTTGCATTTGGCTTTAGGAAACAGAAATCTGACTACAGTGGTTTAATCCAGTTGGGATATGGTAGGGTGTGATGGCTCACACCTGTAATTCCAGTGCTTTGGGAGACTGAGGCCAGAAAATCATTTGAGCCCAGGAGTTTGAAACCAGCCTGGGTGATACAGCAAGACCCTGCCTTCAAAAATAAATAAATAGCTTAGGACTTTTTTTTTTTTTAAATATACACAACTAACTCATTTTTGTTTTTTTGTAATTTACAGATAAGATCTCACTGTATCTCCCAGGCTGGTCTCGAACTCCTGGGCTCAAGTGAGCCTCCTATCTTGGCCTCCCAAAGTGCTGGAATTACAGGTGTGAGCCATCACACCCTACCATGTCCCTACTGGACAGCGTGAGCCACTGTGCTCAACCCACAACTATCTCTTTTTTTTTTTTTTATTTTTTTTTTATTTCAACAGGTTTTTGGGGAATAGTGTTTGGTTACACGAATTAGTCCCTAAGTGGTGATTTCTGAGATTTTGGTGTGCTCATCAGCCAAGCAGTATACACTGTTTCTAATGTATAGTCCTTTATCCCTCAAGACCTTCCCACTCTTTCCTTCCCCAAGTCCCCAAAGTCTATTGTATAATTCTTATGCCTTTGCATCCTCATAGCTTAGCTCCCAGATTTATTTTTTAAATTTAAATATTTCTTTAGGAAGTAGGAAGTCCACAACTATGAGACATTGGCTTCACTGTATCATCACTGTTCTTCCATCCTGAATGTGTGGTTTTTATCCTCATAATACAAATTGGCTACGTTTTCTGAAGCATCACATCTACATTCTAGGCAAGTGGTGAAGAAAGGCAAATGTTAACCCAAGCTACGCCTCATTTCTTCAAAAAAGCCCTATCCAGGAACTTCTGATTACGTCAGGGAAACTGGGAAAAGTGGTATTTGGACTCTGAATGCAGTGTTGCCTGCAAAAAGTCTGGGTTCTGTTGAGAAAGGAAAGTTGTATTTATCACAGGAATATAATTGATATTATAATTGGGACTTTTTTTTTTTATAGCTGGCTCACCCTAGAAGCCCAACTCCAACTCTACCACTTTCTACAAGCAGCTTTGATGAACAAAATTGATGCCAACTCTGCCTGACTCCATGTGACAATCCAGAAAACATACAGATAAAAACACCCAGCCGGGTGCGGTGGCTCACACCTGTAATCCCAGCACTTTGGGAGACCCATGTGGGTGGATCACCTGAGGTCAACAGTTCAAGACCAGCCTGGCCAACATGGTAAAACCCTGTCTCTACTAAAAATACAAAAAATTAGCTGGGTGTGGTGGCAGGCACTTGTAATCTCAGCTATTCAGGGGGCTGAGAATTGAGAATCTCTGTTGTCCAGGCTGGTGTGCAGTGGCACAATCTTGGCTCACTGCAACCTCTACCTCCCGGGTTCAAGCAATTCTCCTGCCTCAGCCTCCCGAGTATATATATGTGTATATATACGTATATATACATATTTTTTGAGATGGAATCTCATTCTGTTGCCCAGGCTGGAGTGCAGTAGCACAATCTTGGCTCACTGCAACCTCCACCTCCTGGGTTCAAGCAATTCTCCTGCCTCAGCCTCCTGAGTAGCTGGGATTACAGGTGTGTAACGCCTTGCCCAGCTAATTATTGTATTTTTAGTAGAGACAGGGTTTCACCGTGTTGGCCAGGCTGGTCTTGAACTCCTGACCTTAGGTGATCCACCTGCCTTGGCCTCCCAAATGTTGGGATTACAGGCATGAGCCACCACAGCCAGCCAGAGATCCACATCTATATTTATAACACATTTATGTATGAAAATTAAGGAGGTGGCCGGGCACAGTGGCTCATGCCTGTAATCCCAACATTTTGAGAGGCTGAAGCAGACGAATCACTTGAGGTCAGGACTTTGAGACCAGCCTGGCCAACATGGTGAAAACTGTCTCTACTAAAATTACAGCATTAGCCAGGAGTGGTGGCACATGCCTGTAGTCCCAGTTACTTGGGTGGCTGAGGCTGGAGAATCGCTTGAACCTGGGAGACAGAGGTTGCAGTGAGCAGATCACACCACAGCGCTCCAGCCTGGGTGACAGAGCAAGAGACTCCGTCTCAAAAAAAAAAAAAAGAAAAAAGAAAAAAAGAAAATTAACTAGGTAATGAAGTTAAGAGTTATCTCAGCTTCTAGTAAAAGTTGTTTTTTTAAAAACCTGTGCTGGGCTCAGTGGTTCATGCATTTAATCCCAGCAGTTTGGGAGGTCGAGACAGGCAGATTACGAGGTCAGGTGTTTGAGACCAGCCTGGCCAATATGATGAAACCCGTCTCTACTAAAAAAACACAAACAAATTAGCTGGGCATGGTAGTGTGTGCCTTTGATCCCAGCTACTCAGGAGGCTGAGTCAGGAGAATCTCTTGAACCAGGGAGGCGGAGGTTGCAGTGATCCAAGATCGTGCCATTGCATTCCAGCCTGGGCAACAGAATGAGAGTCTGTCTCAAAAAAAAAAAAAAAAACCTACTAACTACATTTATATTATGTAAAAATAAAGGGAATAATCGCTGAGAATAAAGCAGTTGAGTATAACAATAATATTTTATGGGGCACTTACAATGTTTATAATATTGTAAAGCACCATGTACTCTATTCATTTAATGCTAAATGACTTGACCATTCCTGTGGGATAAAAGATCATAAGGGCCAGGCGCCATGACTCACGCCTGTAATTCTAAGACTTTGGGAGGACAAGGCAGGTGGATGACTTGAGCTCAGGAGTTCAAGACCAGCCTGGGCAAAATGATGAAAACCCCGTCTCTACCAAAAATACAAAAAATTAGCCAGGTGTGATGTTATGTGCCTTCAGTCCCCACTACTTGGGAGGCTGAGGTAGGAAGATGGTTTAAGTCCAGGATGTAGAGGTTGCAATGAGTTGAGATCGTGCCACTGCACTCCATCCTGAGCAGTAGAGTCAAACCCTGTCTTTAAAAAAAAAAAAAAAAAAAAGAGGCCAGGCACAGTGGCTCATGCCTGTAATCCCTGCTCTTTGGGAGGCTGAGGGTGGAGCAGATCACTTGAGGTCAGGAGTTTGAGACTAGCCTGGCCAACATGGTAAAACCTCATCTCTACCAATATATATATAATATATATATTAATATATAAAAATTATCTGGGCATGGTGGCATGTGCCTATACTCCCAGCTACTCAGGAGGCTGAAGCATGAGAATTACTTGAACTCTGGAGGTGGAGGTTGCAGTGAGCCGAGATCACACCACTGCACTCCAGTCCTCCAGTCTGGGCAACAGAGTGAGACCCTATTTCAAAAAAAAAAAAGAACAAAAGAAATGCTTTATGGGCCAGTGCAGTGGCTCACACTTAGAATCCTAGCACTTTGGGAGGCTGAGGCAGGAGGATCACTTGAGGCCAAGAGTTCAAAACAAGCCTGGGCAATATGGCAAGACCCCATCTCTACAAAAAACAAAAAGTATTTGGGTGTGGTGATGTGTGCCTGTACTCCCAGCTTCTTGAGAGTCTTAGGTGGGAGAATCACTTGAGCCCAGGAGGTTAAGGCTGCAGTGAGCTGTGTTCATACCACCACACCCCAGCATACTGGGTAACAGAGCAAGACTTTGTCTCAAAAAGAGAAGAAAAATGCTTTGCTACATAGTGGGGCCAGGCAGAAAAAAAAAAAAAAGTCCTATATAAATCATATAGATAAATATTTGCAAAGCTGCTACTGCCATTGTACCAGTGTTAAAATGTGTTCTACCTTGTATCTTTTACTGATTTTTATCACAGCTTTTATATTGCAACCATTTGAGAACTCAGTAAGTGCTATGGCTTCCTTAAACTACTATTTATCATATGGTCCCAGTATGTACTTTGAGACTCAATAGCAACCAGAGAATATAAACAACCAAGGTGTATCTGGTTATGTTTTTAAATAAAGATTAATAAAATTTTGGTTTTTCTCTTTTTTTTTTTTTTTTTACTCTGGTGCCAGGTGCCAGGCTGGAGTGCAGTGGCACAATCTCAGCTCACTGCAACCTCCACCTCCCAGGTTGGGTTCAAGCAATTCTCCTGCCTCAGCCTCCCGAGTAGCTGGGACTACAGGCGCATGCCACCACGCCCAGCTAGTTTTTGTATTTTTAGTAGAGATGGGGTTTTACCATATTGACCAGGAGGGTCTCGATCTCTTGACTTCGTGATCCGCCCACTTCGGCCTCCCAAAGTGCTGGGATTACAGGCTTGAGCCACTGTGCCCAGCCCTTGATTTTTCTCTTTCTAACCTTTTTTTTTTTTTTTAAACTAGAAGTATAATACCTATAGAAAAGTATATGTTGGCTGGGCATGGTGGCTCACGCCTATAATTCCAGCACTTTGGGAGGCCAATGCAGGCAAATCACTTGAGGTCAGGAGATCAGTCTGGGCAACATGGAGAAACCTTGTCTCTACTAAAAATACAAAACTAGCCGGGCATGGTGGCACATGCCTGTAATCCCAGCTTCTCAGGAGGCTGAGGCAGAAGAATCACTTGAACTTGGGAGGCAGAGGTTTTGGTGAGTTGAGATTGCCTCATTGCACTCCTGCACTTCAGCTTGGGCAATAAGAGTGACACTCTGTCTCAAAAAAAAAAGAAAAGTGTATGTTAAGTATAGAAAAATATATAAATTAGCCAGGTGCGGTGGCTCAAGCCTGTAATCCCAGCACTTTGGGAGGCCAAGGCGGGTGGATCACGAGGTCTAGAGATCGAGACCATCCTGGTCAACATGGTGAAACCCCGTCTCTACTAAAAATACAAAAAATTAGCTGGGCATGGTGGCACGTGCCTGTAATCCCAGCTACTCAGGAGGCTGAGGCAGGAGAATTGCCTGAACCCAGGAAGCGGAGGTTGCGATGAGCCAAGATCGTGCCATTGCACTCCAGCTTGGGTAACAAGAGCGAAACTCTGTCTCGAAAAAAAAAGAAAAAGAAAAATATATAAATTAAAAAATTAGGTCGGGTGCTGTGGTTCACGCCTGTAATTCCAGCACTTTGGGAGGCCAAGGTGGGCGGATCACGAGGTCAGGAAATCCAGACCATCCTGGCCAACATGGTGAAACTCCGTCTCTACTAAAAATACAAAAAAAAAATTAGCTGGCCGTGGTGGCACACACCTGTAGTCCCAGCTACTCTGGAGGCTGAGGCAGGAGAATTGCTTGAACCTGGGGGTGGAGATTGCAGTGAGCTGAGATGGTGCCACTGTGCTACAGCCTGGGCAACAGTGAGAGACTTTCTCAAAAAAAAAAGAAAAATTATAGGCTGGGGGCCACGCGCAGTGGCTCACACCTGTAATCCCAACACTTTGGGAGGCCAAGGCAAATGGATCACTTGAGGTCAGGAGTTTGAGATCAGCCTGGCCAACATGGTGAAACCCCATCTCTATCAAAAAAATTACATAAAAATTATCCAGGCGTGATGGTATGTGCCTATAGTCCCAGTGTCTCAGGAGTCTGAGGCATGAGAGTCACGTGAATCCTACAGGTGGAGGTTGCAGTGAGCCAGGATCATACCACTGCACTCTAGTCTGGGCAAAAGAGTGAAACCCTGTCTCAAAAAAGGAAAAAAAGAAAAGAAAAATGCTTTTCGGTCCAGTGCAGTGACTCACACCTATAATCCTAGCAATTTGGGAGGCTGAGGCAGGAGGACACTTGAAGCCAAGAGTTCAAAACCAGTCTGGGCAACATTGCCAGACCCCCATCTGTAAAAAAAAAAAAAAGGCCGGGCACAGTGGTTCAAGCCTGTAATCCCAGCACTTTGGGAGGCCAAGGCAGGTGGATCACAAGGTCAAGAGATTGAGACCATCCTGGTCAACATGGTGAAATGCTGTCTCTACTAAAAATACAAAAAATTAGCTGGGCATGGTGGCGCGTGCCTGTAATCCCAGTTACTCAGGAGGCTGAGGCAGGAGAATTGCCTGAACCCAGGAGGCGGAGGTTGCGGTGAGCCGAGATCGCACCATTGCACTCCAGACTGGGTAACAAGAGCAAAACTCCGTCTCAAAAAAAAAAAAAATTAGCTGGGCATAGTAGTGTGTGCCTGTAGTCCCAACTACTTGGGAGACTGACATGGGAGAATCACCTGAGCCCAGAAGGTTGAGGCTGCAATGAGCCATGTTCATACTACCTGCACTCCAGCCTGCTGGTGACAGAGCAAGACTCTGTCTCAAAAAAAAAAAAAAAAAAATGCTTTGCTATATAATGAAGCCAGGCAAGAAAAAGAAAGTCCTATGGGAATCGTATAGATAAACATTTATAAAGCTGCCATTGCCATTGTACCAGTGTTAAATGTGTTCTACCTTACATCTTTTAAATCAAGATTAATAAAAGTTTTGGGTTTTCTCTTTTTAACCTTTTTTTAACTAGAAATATAATAACCTACAGAAAAGTATACAATAAATATAGAAAATATATATAAATTCAAAAATTAAAACTGGTTGTGGTGTGGCTCACACCTATAATCCCAGCACTTTTGGAGGCCAACGTGGCCGATGTGGGGTTGGAAGTTCGAGACCATCCTGGCCAACATTGTGAAACCTTATCTCTACTAAAAATATAAAATTGGCCGGGTGTAGTGGCTCATGTGTGTAATCCAAGCATTTTGGAGCCCAAGGCGGGCGGATCACCTGAGGTCGGGAGTTCAAGACCAGCCTGACCAACATGGTGAAACCCCGTCTTAAAAAAAGAAAATTATATATATATATATATATATATATATATATATAATTAGCTGACATGGTGGTATATGCTTGTAATCCTGGCTCCTTGGGAAGCTGAGGCAGGAAAATTGCTTGAACCCAGAAGGCAGAGGTTGCAGTGAGCCCAAATAGCACTACTGTACTCCAGTCTGGGCAACAGAGTGAAACTGACTCAAAAAAAAAAAAAAAAAAATTGGTGGGGATATGGGGCGGCACATAGCTGAGGGGCCAGGTGCAGTGCCTCACACCTGTAATCCCAGCACTTTGGGAGGCTGAGATAGGTGGATGACATGAGGTCAGGAGTTTGAGACCAGCCTGGCCAACATGGTGAAAATCCATCTCTACCAAAAATAGAAAATTAGCAGAGCATGGTGGCACAGGCCTGTAATCCTGGCTACTCGGGAGACTGAGGCGTGAGAATCACTTGGAGCTTGAGAGGCAGAGGTTACAATGAGCTGAGAACATGCCACTGCACTCGCACCTGAGCAACAGAACATGACACTTTCTCAAAAAAAAAAAAAAAAAAAGGCCAAGGGCAGGCTTCGGCACCCCTTTAATCCCAGGACTTTGGGAGGCCATGGCTGGCAGATCACTTGCTGTCAGGAGTTTGAGACCAGCCAATATGGCAAACCCCGTCTCTACAAAAAAATACAAAAATTTGCAGGGCATGGTAGTGAGCCTGTAATCCCAAAACCTTGGGAAGCTGAGGCAGGAGAATTGCTTAAACCTGGGAGGTAGAGTTTGCAGTGAGCTGAGATTGTGCCACTGCACTCCAGTCTGGGCAACAGAGCAACACTCTGTCCAAAAATATATATATTTACATATAACAAAAATACTCATAACCACCAAAAAATATATATGATTAGTGTCCTCAGAAGCCCTACCTGTCTCCTTCTGTCATAATCCTGTCCCTCACTAAATAATCACTGACCTGTTTAGAACAATAAATATTTCCTTGCTTTTACTAAGAACACACCCCTAAATGCTATGGTTTATTTTGCTTGCTTTTGAACTCTATAGAAATAGAATCAGGCTGGGTGTAGTGGCTCATGTCTGTAATCCCAGCACTTTGGGAGGCCAAGTCGGGTAGATCACGAGGTCAGGAGACTGAGATAATCCTGGCCAACATGGTGAAACCCCGTCTCTACTAAAAATACAAAAATTAGCTGGGCGTGGTGGCACATGCCTGTAATCCCAACTATTTGGAAGGCTGAGGCAGGAGAATCACTTGAACCCCGGAGTTAGAGGTTGCAGTGAGCTGAGATTGCACTACTACATTCCAGCCTGGCCATAGAATGAGACTCTGTCTGAAAAAAGAAAAAAAGAAAAGAAAAGAAAAAGAATCATATGGTATATATATTTTTCTTTCTAATTTCTTTCAATCAACATTTATTTTGATTCAGCCATGTTAATGTATAGTACTATAGATCATTTCTTTTAGATTTAAAGATTTTTATTTTTTATGAAACCCCAAAATAAACATGTTATAATTGTACATTTAAATCTGGTTGTAAGTTTTATCCTGGCAGCTATTTGTCAATATACCTGCTAGTAAGAGCGGATCTGCAAGTTATAATTTATACACAAAGATATTTAACAAATTTTCTTTTTTCTGAGACGGATTCTAGCTCTGTTGCCCAGACTGGAGTGCAGTGGCGCAATCTCGGCTCACTGCAACCTCCACCTGTCGGGTTTGAGTAATTCTCCAGCTTCAGCCTCCTGAGTAGCGAGAACTACGGGTTTGTGCCACCATGCCCAGCTAATTTTTATATTTTTAATAGAGATGGTGTTTCACCATGTTTTTTGTTGTTTGTTTTTTTGAGACAGAGTTTCGCTCTTGTTACCCAGGCTGGAGTGCAATGGCGCGATCTCGGCTCACCGCAACCTCCGCCTCCTGCCTCAGCCTCCTGAGTAGCTGGGATTACAGGCACGTGCCACCATGCCCAGCTAATTTTTTGTATTTTTAGTAGAGACGGGGGTTTCACCATGTTGACCAGGATGGTCTCGATCTCTTGACCTCGTGATCCACCCGCCTCGGCCTCCCAAAGTGCTGGGATTACAAACTTGAGCCACCGCGCCCGGTCCTGGTGTTTCACCACGTTGACCAGGCTGGTCTCGAACTCATGACCTCAAGTAATCCACCCACTTCTGCCTCTCAAAGTGCTGGAATTACACCATGCCCGGCCGAAATTTTCGTTTTTCTTCTTCTTTTTTTTTAAATTTAAGCGGAGTTTCACTCT